GAATTTGTACCTTGACTTAGTCTAGTCGATTTCTCTATAGCACTGTATTGAGCCAACACTGTGCACCCTCTTTTGGATGAATTACTGCAACACCTTTATTCAGTGTAATACTGCAATGATTAGGTAGAACATCTGGGCCATTCAGAACAATATCTTGAGTTGTTGTTGCTTCATCTGATCCTATTAAAGTTTTCCTTCCTAGAAAATTATTGTTTAGAACTTTTACAAAACCTACTTAGAATAAAACAGGGAAAAATACTTGTAGTATTATTTTTGTATAAATTTAACTTAAGGTAAAAATAGTACAAAAGTATACCTATAAAAAATTCTAAAATTACCTTCAAGTGATACAAAGTAACACCTGTACTGAGTAAATCATCATCGATGCCAACGAGATGCGGTATATCGCTGTCCAGAACTACACCCAAACCAGCTTTGCGTAGTCCCAAAGCAGTCTGCTCATGTAAAATTTGTTGAGTTTCTCGCCATTTTTCAGTCCATTCTTCAGTAAGAACTTTTTCCTGTGCTTCTTTTGATGCAAAGCAGCTAATACTTGTGGTTCAGATAGCAAACTCTGTAATAGATATCATTGATACATTATTATATATTAATGAAATTTTTTATTACCAATAATTGCTTGAATTACTTACTGTATCCGACATCATTGACTTCAATTTACTAATTTCTTCTCTAAGTTCTCGGATTAATTTAACATTTGGATCTTCATTAATTGTAGGTTTATTAATTAATATTCTTAGCTCTATTAGCATATCTTAAGTACTCAAAGTTTCTCCATAATTACAATCAGCTGGTGATATTGCTGCAATCATTATAGTTTTTGAATTACCACCGAGACTGTCTTTAAGCAACCAAGTAAGCACTGAATCTCGGTTATGTATGTATGAATGTTTTAGATTTGCTAGATGATGTTTGTGTTGAAGAAGATAATTCAGCTAAAGCTGAAATAACAGATCCCAATGTAACAAAGATTTATTTATATGAGCCCCTTCTTTTAGACGCTGACCAGTTGCTCCAGAAGAGTCAGCTCTTTCACTAAATAAACAAAATAAAAAGAATTTGTCAAATGCTTATAATCTCGTTTCTAGTGCATATAATAAACCTTACCTTCCAGCTAAATCAACAAGATGTACTTTAGAAACGGTTTCACTTGGCATATCATTACTGTAACCAGCTTGAACAAATGTAACAGTAAAAATGGCATGACTTCTACTTGATACATCATTCATATTGGTGGAAGCTGTTGTTCTATGTGAATTACCTCTAAGCATACACTCCTAATAAATAATTTGGTATATTTAGTAATTATTGAAATTTCTATTAGTTGGAATTTTGTTGGAAAATACATGATAGATGTCAATCTCATTAGAATTTGAGTGAGTCTAATTAAGAATAAGTAAGTAAGCTGTATTATTAATTAAAAATTTACTTGAATTCCTCCATAATCAGAAACTAGATGTGATGATAAATCTTGAACATAAGGACCACTTTTTGGATGTTCACGAACCTTTAAACTATGTCCGGAATCAGTACTATAAAGAAATAAAGTATAAAAAATTGTATTGACATACTGCAAATAAGTAAACATACCTCAAAAGATCTTTTACACGTTCATTGTATATTTCCAAATAGCTTACTTCTGTACGATAACTTGCACCTTGTTCTTTACCAGTGAGCATTCGACTGAATAAATTCTTGCAGATTCTAGGTATTAAGCCCTGGCAATCCTTTTTAAAATACATAAATATAAAAATTAATTAAGATGCATGTTTAAAGGTGAGTACATATTAATAAAAACGTTATGTATAAAAAGATTCTCACCGGTGTCCCCATCATGGTAAAAGTTTTACCACTTCCAGTTTGGCCATAAGCAAAAACACAAGCGTTATAGCCTTCAAATGCACTATCAACTACATCATTTCCTAGGTCAGAGTATACCTTAAAAATAACAAGCAAACTCGATAATAGAGTTTAAACTTTGAAAATAAATTAATAAATAAATGCAAATAACATATTCTTGTAATTCCGGCTATTAATAATGTTACATTTTCTATGTATTTTTCATTATAAAAATAACTTACTTGTTCCTGTGATGCAAAATTTTCATCAGTATTATTGTGTGACCAGTATGAGTAATCAAATGTAAAGTCCTTATATTGATCTTTTTCATCATTAAGTTGTCGTGTTGAAGAAACCTAATTAACAAGATCTTCAATTAGTAAGAATGTTCTAATTGAATGGTAAATTTATATCATTTGTATACTTGTGGGTACAAACAAACTTTATATATAATATAGACATAAATAAATAATAAAAAATACAATTACCTGAAGTAATATATCAGGAAAAAATAATTTTAAGGTAAAATTATTGTGCAAGACAAAATGTAGTGATATTTATAAAATTGCAAGTAATAAATAATAATACCTTATTCAATAGTCTGGTCTTTTTTCCGTCCATTTTTATTATAAGTTTTGATTCCATAGCAATCTCCCTGTAAATGTTATCAGTTTCGTAATAATATGCAACTTTTTGGGGAATTAATTATTATTACCTTTGATTAAAGGGGCGAACCCTAACTGCTACTTTTAACGACGCCATTATTTCTTGCAATTTAATGACACAAAGCAACCAATATTTATTTTAACAAAAAAACTAACAAAATAAGGTAAAAATAAATATTTTCTACAATATGTACATCTAAACATTTTTTATATAAACTTTTACACCGCACTATAATTACTCATATGTACTGTGTTTGATTAAACACTTGAGATATGAATTTCACTTAAATCTATTAAACATTAAAAATTTAATTAATCATTGCACAAATAACAATCTATTATTGTATTTGACATTTAGTTTCAACATCTGTCAACTTATTGTCACAGTCATAGGACAGATGGGACAGATAGTCCACCATAGACAAATTTTATAAGATGAGTACTACATTTTTTTCCCGTCTACTAACTACGGTATCTATGGACAAAAAAGTATTACCAACTGTGATTTTAATTTGAACGTTATTTCAAAACTGACAAGTGCTTCAAAACTGTGAGTGCTCAAACTTAATTAACCTAACAATAATTTCTTGCGATAATTTAACCTTCGATGAAAGAAGTATATGTATGTAATACAGATGGGCTTATTATATCCATATTATATCCGAAGTCGGATCGACTCGGATTTGACTCCGCTTCAGGGAGGAGTTATATCCGCTTAACAACTCCACGACTCCGACAACTTTGAAATCGAAATACTCGACACAAATGTGTTCTATAATGCGTTGATTGAAAATAATTGATTTTTTTGATTAATTTTATATAAAAATAATGTAGTAAGCTTTGTAATAAAAGCAAAACATTTATCACAAAATATTTTCACCAAATAATAATACTTCTGCTTTCTAATTTTTTCTTCTGCTATGTCCATTCGAGAATTAATATTATATCGGATAGTTCGATTAGCATATTCTATAATTGTGTAAAAGTAAAAACTTAATACTATATATTTTTTGCTGCAAATACTATTGACGTCACTATGGAAAGACCAGATTAAATGTATTTTGTTTCGCGTATTTTTCGGTATGTATATTCCTGATCGCCGTCATTCACGGCCAAAGATTGTCGTTGTTAGAAATATGACCCCTTACTATTCAATAAATTATACATTGGAGCTATTCACACTTGAACACAATTTCATTGATCTGTATCTTTGATGTAATATTTTTGTATTTTCTGAAAAAAAACATATACCTAAAAGGTCATAAAACTGCCTGCGAGACGAGAAAGCGACAGCTTCTTTCCCAAAGCAAAAACGCACGAACAGATTTAGTACCAGCTTAGGGAAGTCGGATATGACAAATCCGGTGAGACTACTCCACTCGAATTCACTCCGAGGCAAGAGTTGTATCGGAGTGATAACTCCGGAGTGAGTTACCCATCTCTAGTATGTAATATAATTACAATTCACTTTCTGTTTTGTGGTTTTGTGTTTGTTCAATCAAAAAAGATTGGAAAATGGAACCCACCTACCGCAGTAAGTATATTTTTTCATCTAATGCAAATGATTTAATCCTTATCTTAATCCTTATAAATTATTAAGTAACTAATTTGTAAAGATCGAGACGGTTTACTTTCTAGATAATTATATCATGGTATAGTTAGATAATTATATCATAGTATATAATTGATGAAGTAGTCTTTTTGTTTTTACACACGTGCACTCTTTTTTGTTCGTTTCTTGCAGAGATAATCTTAGGATTTTTCCATCTTCTTACTTCAAATTTTTAGATGGTAACCATCGATAAAAATATATATGATGGTAACCAAATGGTTAATCCATTCGTACTTGATGATTTTATTTTTAGAATTCATCTAATAGGGCTGACTGCATGTTTATTGGTGTAGGAATCAGCGGATTAGGGCTGTTTTCACTTGGAAACATATTGCTATCTATACTTCCAAGTGAAAATCGTTTTCAATGCTGCCTGATAACAGGCTGCTCGAAGAGGGTATCGAATCCGGGACCTCTGAATCAAGTCCCGTCGCTCTTAGCCGCTTACCTACAAGCGAGCCCATTCAATGCAAATGGCGTCAATAATAAGGTTACTCCATAAACAGATAAACCCATAACATTTTATAACGATGCTGAAAATTCATCTAAATGCAATATATAACATAAGTGTTTTAATTAATTGCTTATTCAAATATTTTGTATTTCTTTTATATAGTTATATAAGTTCTCTACATTGTATTCTCAATAATTAATATAATATTCTACTTAAGTACTTATATATTAATACTTTTAATATTTAATTAATATATTCACAGCTTACACTCGTCCGCCAAAATAAAATCATTTTTATTACTCATTTTAAAAACAATCATAATTTCAATGCAATACAATTCCAAATTAAAATACTGATAATTGCATCTGATTTTATTTTAGTTAAAATTAAAAATTATAAAGCATCAGTAAATAATTCTTAACAGTTGAGCTACTAGATTTTGACCAATTGAACCTAATATAAATTAAAAATCCAATGATTTTTATAAATTTATATACTTTTTAATACATAATCAATTATGTTTATTTCTTTAAATATAATAATTATTTTATGACATGTAAGCATAGAATATTAAGATCGCGATCTTTTGATATAAGATCGTCATGAACTTGATGACTAGTATTTTGTTTGATTACTTTTTTATATTTTGCAAAAAAAAATCGGTTTATATAATATAAAACAAGTTATATATGTATATAAAATACACATAATTATGTATATATACATAATTAATTCAAGTATTTTTATGTATAATAGACCTATATAAATAGCTCAATTGTCAGTATTCGTATATAAAAAGATTTTAACATCTTTTCTTCGGCACAACTCTTAATTAAATATAATTATTATTCATATGTACAATTTATCCGGTTATGCGGTTTAATAATTTTTATATGTAAGAGATGAATAAAAGAAAAATTATAATTTTTATTTTTGGTTCGTTATATTAATAATAACAACAGTGTCCTAGTGCTTGATTATTATTTATTTTAAATTATTTATCAATAAATTAAATACTTTTAATCGAATACACTGAATTATAATTTGCAGTTCAAACAAATTTAATACTCTTCAAAGCTATTTACAAAGCGCTTTTTCAATAATAGGCATATAATATAAATTTGTATGATTATCAAAAATATTTTCTACATAATTTTACATAATAGGCTTAAATTTGATACGCAATAAATATGAAATTAATATCACATATATTTGGCTGCTAATATTACTGTTTGAGCAATGAGCACATAAATAGTATTTCATATGTATGAAGCAATTGTTAAAATAAACCAAAACTAATTATTGTTGTTAAACAATAAATAGCAAAACATAAAGATATAGATATAATAAATAAATATGCTAACAATAACTACTTAAGCATGGATAGAAATCATAATTTCATATAATTCACAAAGAACTATTTTCTATCGTCAGTTCTTACATAGTTACTATGAACTAATATTTATTATTAACGTATAAATATTAATATAATAGCTAGTCTTTCTGTTATTTAAATATTACAGCTATTCGTAATAATTAGGAATTTTTGATCCGCGTCAGCTATATTTATCTAACCAGAAATTATCACAAAATCAATGATAAATTATCTTTAACTCTATATAATTAATTTTAATTGGGACAAGATGAGATTCACTACAGGTACCTACTTGGAGAATAGCATCTCATATTAATAAAAAAATGCAATTTTTGAAAATAAATGAAGCGTAAACTAGATAATTTTCAATTGAAGTGGTTGATTTTTTAATTGAAAAATAGAACAACCCTAAAAATAATGAAATACTTTGGGAAATATATGTCTTCAAAACTCCGTATTTTTTAAATGAATGCAATCAAATTAAATAAAACATATATTTATAAATTCAATAGTGTATTATTTCTAATTGCTCATAAATATCATCATTGTTTCAGTAAAAACCAAACTCCATTTTACGCTTCATTTTTTAAAAAACGATAATAATTCAGTATCAATCATATCAATGTATGCGCGACACTAATTATATATAAAAATATTAGTTATAAACCCATAGGTACGATCGTATCCAAAATCAATCCATTTCTATAATTTCTTAATGAAAATAATAACTTTGATATAAGTATAAATATTTATAATATTATACAATATGGGATATTTTTAGGAACTCTAAAAATTCTACTTACTTTTTGGTATCAGTTTAGCTGTATAGATAATAATCTTCTATACTACGACCTGTATAAATATTTCATTAGAAATGCACTAGTTGTGTTTGTTATCCATAACTAATTTATATATCTAAGTTGACGATGTGCGTATTGTCTATTTCAGATTTTTTGGTGATAACTATTTATTGCGAACTTGCTGAATTCGGTGCTATATCCCTGATACATTTATCTGACATGATTGTGAGAATTTGATCAAATTTCGAGTGCCTTTCTTCTGCACTCAAAGTAGCTCCTTTGCTACCCCAGAGGAACTTCTGATGAAACTCAGTCCTGGGAAAAATGAAAAGGTAAGTTGTATAAAATCTTTACATTATTAATTTATGCAGTTAAAAACTGCATGTGCAGCTAGAAGCTTTATTAGGTTTTGTTATAATTTATCGTTTATCTTACCTGAAAGCGTCACAAGAGATGTCTTCTTCGGCGATTTCTTGTAGGACGCTGTTAGCAATTCGCCTAAAAGTGGCAACACTAGGCGCAAAAGATCTTGCAGCCTGCATGTGCTGAATTAAGGTGGTTAATCCAAAATCTGTAGAATTTTGTTCCCAACTAGCTAAGCAGCTATTCGCAAAACCAGTACTATTAATCGCAACTGAAAAATAGTAAAATGTCTATTCTCTATATTCTATAAATCATTTGAAAATTAAATAAATTATAGATATCAATTTCTAGTTAAATTCAATTGGTTTAACTTTTACCTTGAAAATCATCGAGATCGCGTTCCATCAACAGTGCGATAGGCAGTACATGAGGTATTGTCGTATTGGGAGCCTGAGGATTATGGCCTTCATTCATTGCTTTTAATGTAGGCCTCAATTTAGCTTCAAATTGAAAGGCACTGTCCGTATGTCTTTGTCTCAGAATATGCCATGATTTTTCTAATTTTTGAATCTAGAAAAATAATAAAAACTATCATTAATTAAAGCCAATATCGGATAAAAAAATATGGTATATTTCTTGATAGTTTTATTATGTTCAGATGTTTAGTATGCATCTAAAATTCTACAATAAAAAAATTTAACTTTAGAAATTCTTAATTATTGTTACAAGCTTTAATAAGTACCTGTGGCAAAGATAATCCAAGCATAATTCCACAAAAACCATAGAGATTTCCAAGTGCGGTTTTCGTATCAATGGCAATTTGAATCCATTTATGTAAAATCGCAGCACGTTCGAGATCTGAAGCACACGTTAATATTGTAACTGCTACCATCAACTTTAAGCATTCCGTCCTAAAATTGAACAATAAAATGTTTATATCTTCAAATTATTAATCACGTTATTAAGCTGTACTTCCTATTTACCTTTCTATCAAATCTAGTCTAAACTGATGTCCATGAGGTAGACAAATTAACTCTAATCCAGATTGAAGTCTCAAAGCGTCCAGGTCTGATTTATTTTTTACTTTATTTTCTGAATTTTCTTCAGCTTTTTCTATACATATATTCTCTTTGTTATCTTCTTGTACTCCTAACATAAAATCTATATCCACTTTAGTCAAATAATTGGCTATTATTCTAGATCCCGTCTCCACTAGCATATCTAGTACACTACGTAAGGCATTCACATCCAGAGGTTTGTTTTCCGTTGCTGGTAATAATAGGGTATGGAAACTTTCTACATCAAATCTAAATACATAGAGGAAATATTTCAAATTTCAATATTTATTATTGAAAAATGTATATAATAATAGTAAAATTATTGCTTCTATTACCTGCTATCACAGCGTAATTCAGGTGTAGGTGATTTTGCTAATCTTTCTTCTGCTGCTGCCGCGTCAAATTCAACAAAATTTTTGAGAGTTGTACTTGACGCCGAACTTACTATATAATGTGGATTTTTTATGACAACTCCACTGTTTCTGTGATTTGGATCTAAAGCAGAATCGCCAGTAGCTGAACTTTGTGCAGAATCTCCACTGCCATTTCCTGAATCAGATCCGGATGCCTAAAAAATCGAAATTGATGACTTGTAAATATATGTTTACCTGATAATTTGATGCTCTAGGCGGTAAAGATGAAGTTGGCATCCTGCATGGTTTTGGAGGAGCTTCTCCATAAATCTCATCGCATTCATCCGGCACTTCAAATTTTCTTCTATCAAGTCTCGGAGATCTTGAAGCTCGAGATCTTGGTAAGGAATGTGTATTAAAGGATTCGCCTCCTAAAAGATTGAAAGTGGAACAAAACGATTCCATGAAAAATTGATTGCATATTTTACTGTAATCAATATTTTTCAAATATACATAAAAAATATATTAAAAAAGTATGTTATTCCTTACCGGTGGCTCGAATGATTCCATCCGCAGAATTTGCCTTTTCATGGTCTCTTTGTTTCTTCATGGGCAACCTTGGAGGTTGACCACAATGCCTGTTAGTATACGGATTCACCCCTGGTAAAGGGCCCATAACACCTGTGTATTGTGTACTATAATGTGACAAAGGTTGAGTCCTGTTGCAGGGAAATTGAATCCTTGCTCCCGAGGCGGACGTGATGTGTGTTCCTGATCCGACATAGTAAGTAATGAGATCAGGAACTGTGTCGTAAGCATCATCTTCGAATCGATATTGAAGTCGTTCGTAGACTGTTTCTGGTTGTAGAAGTACCTTAAAATTAAAATAATTTAATTACTATAATAGTTGGACGTAAGCAGATTGATGGTAACCTTCAAGGCTATAAACTATTAGTTTTACCTTATTAATGACGAAGTGCAAAGGCGTGCCCTTCGATTTACAACTCAGCACATAGTCCCCTGGCTGAGATGAACAATCTCTGACCAGGAAATCGCCATCGTTGACCAGAAGTCGTTCTGCTCGAGCTCTGGGTATTGGTCCATGGTACCAGCCATGTGATCTTAGGTCTCTGGCGTCGAGTGATAGCTCTTGTTCCAGGGCAATTCGCAATTCTCTAGGACTTGATTGAGTCTTCTCAACGGGGGTATCCTGATAAAAATATTAAAAAAATATGGATAATAAGGTCAGATACAATCATTACAGTAGAACCTTGATTATCCTGACCTCAGTTATACGGATTCGCGATTATCTGGACTACCAACCGCGATCAATTTTAATGTATGTACATACCTACAATTCGAATTTTTGCATGAAAATATTTATATACATACCTAATGAAGTGTTAATTTCTTAACAAACATTGATTTTCGTTGATATCTATGTATGTAAATGTTATTTTTAATAAATACACAACATTATTCATCATACTATCGATTATCCGGATTTTTGATCATCCCAATGCCTATTGACCACAATCAGTCCGGTTAATCGAGGTTCTATTGTATGTTATAAAAGTAACGACTAATCATTCAAATCCTTATTAATTTAAACTAAAATTGTTAAATAATATGCGTGAATTCATTTTTAACGATGATTAATACAAACGCATACAAATAATTGCATTGCGACATTAGATTAGAAAGTTCATGAATTACCGTAGCAACTTTAACACCTCGACATGTAATTAAAAGTTGACATTGATTTGTAATTTATATTTGTATAACTGTTTGAGAGTATATTTTATTTATATGAATTCAACGTTTAGTATTATTCCTAATAATTATTAGGAATTATAAATATCCAAATGAAACTTACCATAATAAGATTGCATAAACTCTTGGTTTGTTTGGTGTCGCAGTTTGGAGTAATTTCAGAACTGAAAATTAAATAAAAATCGTATGATTTAAAAAGTAAAACTTTTCAATATATGAAAATCACATCATTCAGAGATAACTATTATCATTCATACAAAAATAGGTAAGAAATGTCAAATGCAAATTTTTATCTGTTTCTCAGCCTATTTTTACTGTTTTGATTAACTGATTTTTTTTCAAATGTTTTAAATACATACAATGAGTATGAGTAATCATAAACTCGTATCTAATTTAATTTGATTCTATAAGCTTACAATAATTTAGAAAAAAAGTTAGAAATTTCATGTAGTAAATGCATTTGATTACAAAGCGATCTGGTCCAAGTTGGCGCCAACTAGCACTAGGCGCAGAAATTTTCCCTAAACTACACCTCATAAAACTAAGTACTACTGCTTAAGACTCGTCAATACAGCATCATTGTTGGGTTCAGTACAGATTATCCTATAGGGTCAGTTAGTAGGTAAAGAGACATACAAGACTATTTTCTTAAGTCACTTGTTGTGACGAATCCGGGAAATGGCATAGTGAATATTTTATAACCCGGAACAAACAAGATTTTCAGTAGACAGAGCCGGAACAAAGCCTACCCACTAGGAAACAGCCAAAGCTGTATTTTCGCATAAATTTTATTAGAGATTTTGAACGATTTAGCAATATATGTGGTGATCAACGCTGAAATCCGTGTTCCAGCATTAATCACCTATGAATTCCAACTCTAGTTTGATCACCTACACCAGGTGAACGAACTTCAAATGAAAATAGAAAAAATAAAGAAAATGAGTTTGAAAATGAGACATAATATATGAGAAAGAGACTCGTTTTTTCAAGAAAAAAATTTCAGTTTATCATTTAGTATGTACTTTCAAATAAGTTTTCCATTCTTTGGAAATCTTTATCAAATTATTTATTGGACGTATATTTATCGACTAATCACTTGTAGTATTATGAAGATTAGCCGAAATCCAATATACGAAGTATAAATAGTTTACTCATTACTTAGTGAAAGTAATGAAAAGGAGGCAAATTGATAGTCCCTAATGACATATACTGTTTTTATTTCAGATTGGTGAATATTTTATTTGAACAGTAGAATTATTCTCATTAAATATAAATCAAGGTAAAAAATCATTTACGCCTATATTAGTATCGGAAAAACAACAGTTTCATAGTCTGATATTAATTATTACACTAGTCAAATAATAATAATGAAAACAATAACAACGAATATAATAATATAATAATAAAGAATGTAACAATCCAACTAATAATAAAGTATCTGGCAATCCTATTATAATAATCTAACCGTAATTATATCCTTTGTATTTACTAAAAGTAAAATTTAATATTATTATGACTTGCTGTAGTAAATAATGTACTGAATATGATTTAGATTTTTTATTTATATTTTTAAATATTAAAAGTAATAATAGCAGGTAACGTAAAAACGTGCAATAGTGTTAATAAATATAATGTTTATGTTCATATATATATATAAATATATATATATATATATATATATATATATAATAAATAAATGAATAAATATATATATATATATATATATATATATATATACAATATATAATATAATATAATAGTTATTTTGCAACAGGTTACACTTACATTTATCAATTTTTTATCTAATCCTTCGAAAAACTATAGCACTATTTTCGAACACAATTTTTTCATATAGAGGTATTGCAAAACTCACATAAAATATTAAACACGTTACTATTTATATGCAAAACCACTATAAAACTTACAAAACATTGAGCAATTAGTGTACAAATCACAATATAAAAAGCTACATTTTATTTTCCTATAGGCCTTGTTTGTTTTGGTGTGAAAGATTCATAACGCCCACTGTAAGGAACGCTCTTGAATAAAAACTAGGCACCGAGGCTTTTTAGTAAAATAACTACATTGTAAAAACTATCGGTAAAAATATTATTAACAAAGTAGTTACAAACAGTTGTGCATATTAGTGATGCACAAAATCAACTATTATTTCCACCTAGTAGTAAAGCTGAAACGCACCCCCACCCTTCACAACCCCTGTTATACTACAATGGAAAGATTCTGAAACTTACATTGATAAAACGAGTCTTAATAAAAGACAAACAATTAAAATACTATTTGAAACTTTTATAAGGTATTCATAAATATAATACTATTTATTTACGTCTTTGAAATAAATGTAATATTGTATGCTAATAATGCCAATTATAATAGTTTTTTTTTTGACTATCAGAAATACTGAAATATATTTATATTTAGATTTTTTTTTATTAAAGATAGAATTATCTATATTTTTGCAGATTTTCAATCAACAAGATTGTATTATCATTGCTTAATTATAAAAGTAATTTTACATATAAATATCGTGTCCGCCACATCTTCGTAAGCTATAATTAATACAGTTCAATTTTTAATACCAAAAAATAAATTATATTTATCACTTATTTCATAATTTAACAATTAGTATAATATTTTATAAAATTTATATTAATAAATTCATAAAACCAAAATATTATTTTTTTGCAGATTTTAACAAACAAATATATTACCATAACGCCCAATTATATTCTTTACTTTAATCGTATATTAATATATCAAACATATAATTATGAATTTTTATATTTATCAATTTTTAGTGAAAATTATCGAGACTGTATGTTATTTTTGATAAATAATTTTGAAAAAATGAATGACTAAGAGTAATCCATTTGATAAAAGATAAAAGAAATACAATATATGATCAATATTACTCTATTCTATTGAATTGTAATACTTTGTCATGTTTATAAAAAGTGATAACAACCGTGGCAAATATTGTATAAAAATAATATTTTCGACCTAAATATATATTTGATATTATCTAAATATATACCTAAATATATTTTCGGGCGCACGGATCAACCGATTTGAATGGTTCAAAAAACATTCGATTCCTATTGATTGGGAGATGTGCTGATTAGTTTTTGGCAAAGGCAGGTCCAGCAGTTACGGAGATAAAGAGCAAAGAGTGCAGAAAATAGAAATCGAATTTTTGAGAGAACGGAGTAACCGATTTGAATGATCTAAAAAACATTCAATTAGTAATGATTGGGAGAAGTGTTTGTTAGTTTTTGGCAAAGGTAGGCCCAGCCATTTCAAAGATACATAGCTAAATGTTAAAAAAGTGACAGTTTTTGAGAGAACTAAGCATCCGCTTTAAATGATTCAAAGAACTTTCTACTTGTTTTAACAAAATAATTGATTTTGGAAAAAAAAATTGTTTCAAAATAATTTTTTTTTTCAATTTTTTTTCAAAAAAAAATTTTTTTGTATATCGAAAATAAATCAAATTTAATTTTTAATTCTGACTAAAGTTCTAATATACTTTAAACAAATAATTTGAACTTTGCAATTCAGTTTATATAATTCTTATAAATATTAGACAACGTTACAATATTTATAATAATCTATTTGAAAACATTCAGTATTCCTCGAACATTTCGTTACGGCACGGAAAGTTCCAGCAATTTGCCTTAAGGCACGATGCCATACACCCCACTAGTTCATTTTTTATATTCTATAGTATCTGTTATTATCACATTATAGTTTATTGCATTTTTTTTATCTTTACAACTGATATCTTTATAATTCTTTTTTCTTCTAAATATGACCTTCTAGAATTCGAATCTTAGTTTTCTTATCACTTTTTATTGTTTATTCAAATTCTACGCAACAAATCAAATTCTATTTAATTTCAAATTAACTAAATTAATTATAATTCTAAGTCAATGACAGGATTCGATCCGAAGATCCTTGTCTTAGAAGTGTAAGCTATGCCCGCCATAAAATTAAGACTTAGAAACGCATGATTTTTGAACAAAATAAATCTAAATATAAATAAACAATATATTATTATTTATTATATTATGAGAATAGCGTCGTCAATTATTAAAATTCTAATGATAAAATATTAAAAATTTTTACTATATTTTTTCCATAAAAATGTGATGCAGAATCCCACAGTTTGATCGCGTCTCGCCCCGGGAGTGATATTGATTCGCGCCCCACCTCGTCTCGCGGGGTAGTACGCTCACGGCGCCCATTCACCGGCGCCTAGACCCGTTCGCACACACTACGCGATATTGCGCCCTCACGGCTATTACACCCATGCGCGGGCCAAATGCATTGTGAAATGCATTTCGGTTCACCCTACCTTAGGGGCGCAAAGAATAGAGTAGTAGAAATGAAGATGGTTTGTTGACCTCGGATTATTTTTTTAAATTAGTTGAATTATTAAATGGATTTTAGAAATGTTATAATTTCTTAAACGCTAATTCATATTTGATGATATATTTTGACTATTTTAACTATAGGGTAATTAACATCCCATAGGGTAAGTTATAGTAATCGCAAAAAATCGAAAATAAAATTTTGTATATATCTTTACGTTTCAGAGATTTCTGAACATTTTGGCATACCTTAGAAAAAATACAGGTGTGTATGCGTGTATGGGTGTGTACGGGTACAAATTTTTGTCGACGATTTCGGGAACACCGATCAACCGGTTTCATTAAATCAAAAAACATTCGATTCGTATTGATAAGGAGACATGCTGACTAGTTTTTGGCAAAAACAAGTCTAGCCGTTTTGAAGATGTGGAGCAAAAAGTGCAAAAAGCGGTAACTCAGCTTTTAAGAGAACAGAGCGTCCGATTTTAATAATTCAAAAAACATTTTACTTGTATTGACAAGATGAAGAACTGATTAATTTTTTAGAAAGGCAGGTCTAGCGGTTGTGGACTCTCAATAAAAATAAGTTAAAAAAATGTCATTTGGCGGTCAAAAATGTTTATTGGACATATGTACCTACATCAAATTATCAGATATTTTGTAGAGATTTTAATAATGTGTACAAATTTTATGTAAATTTTTTTGGGTTTCATACCAAGATTTTTGCTTACGGTACGGGAAGTTTTAGCAATTTACCTTAAGGCACGATGTCATGCACCCCACTAGTTAATTTATTTATAATAATAATTAGTTTATTAGGGTAGAGCAGGGCTTAAAAATCATTAGATTATAAAGATTCGCGGGTAAAAAGGTCCACCACCGATATCTCAAAAACCAAGTGAGTTAAGAATTTTTTACCAGCAATATTTTAAAGTAAAGGGAAAATAACTTGAGCTTACACCTCTATGTGATAAAAAGAATCGACTTAACCTTTATCTTTAATGGAAAAAGTGTAAGAAATAAAAAATAGTAAATAAATAAAGTTTTAAAAATTTATTTATGTTATATATATTAAAAATGTTTTCTTTACTTTGAAATATTTTGGTATAACTATAAGTTCTAAACTTTTTTAACTGCATAGAGACGAAATATCGAAGCGCGTAATTTAATCAGTTGTTCATCTTGTCAATACAAGTAAAATGTATTTTGAATTATTAAAATCGGACACTCCGTTCTCTTAAAATTGAGTTATCTTTTGTGGCACTTTTTGCCCCGTATCTTCGAACCGGCTAGACCTGCCTATGATGTAAAAATTAGAATGTAAATAAATAAAAATGTTGTAGGTGGCTAAATGCTCAGAGTAAGCGAAGCCAAATAAAAATTTCAAAAAAATATATATATTTTGCATTGGTCATTGGTTATTATTATTTCATATATTATTTTGTAAAATCTCTTTAAAATTATATATAAGACATTGGACTTGTTTGCCACCTGACCACTTTATACCGCCTATGGAGTAAAAAGGACCAGGTCTATAAGTAAGTTTTAATAACATAGATTTTTATATTAAATCAAAGAAACTATTCATTTAAATTATTTAATTATTAAGATAAGTTTTTTGTTTTATACAAAATAGAGTACGTTTATTTGTACTTGCGGATTAACATTATTGATAACTATTTAAATATCATAATAATAATATTTACAATTTAAATACAATTCAAGTAATAACTCTTATCGAACGCAGTGCCTGTTATATGAATAAAATTCACGACAATAAAACTTTATTAATTATTATCAATAAATAAATATGTCTATATAACTAAGACTCTTTAATATGTTTTGCTACCTTGATAGTCTGTCTCTTTTGATTTGTTACAAAAATAAACATTCGATCGATTTGGACTAACTATTACACATGCGATATAAATACACGTAGTATTTGAAATTAGTTTCAGATAATGTGAATAATAAATAACCTTTTAATAGATTGTTCCAAATTAATCAATAACGAGAATAATATTTAAATATATATGTCAGATAATAAGGATAAGAGGCGTTTGTTTTATCCAAAAGAGTTTTTTTATAAATTTATTACAAATAAATTGAGATTATTAAATGAAACTTAATTACATGTTAAAACTAGAAGTTTTCATAACTTATTCCTTTCCAGTACAATGACCAATAATTTTCCAAATTTTCAAAATTCAAATCATTACAAATGACAAAATATATTTATATGAAGGATCTATGATGACAAAATATATTTATATGGAGCATCAGGCCCGGATTTAGAAATTTGGCGCCCTGGGGCACTGACAAAAATGCCACCTCATCTCTGAAATTTTACTTAAATACTTTTTATTTATAATTTTTCTAAAATTGCAGAATATTTAGTACGCATTACATACTATAAATAATAGTGCTTGGCATCGAGACTTAAGGCAAATTGCTGGAAAATCCCGTACCAAAAATTAAAATTCAAAAAAATAATAACTTTGAAAAAATTTCATTTTTGAAAAAAAAACTTTTTTGAAAATTTTGAGATTTTTTATTTTGAAACATTTTGGAAATTTGGAACTTTTTGTAAAAGCAATCGCGCTGCTTTTACCATTAATAATTTTAAATAATAAATTTTAATAATAGGTTATTTGAACCCAAATTTTGCATTACAATCATATTATGTTTTGTTCATTATATTTCTTGAAATAAAAAATGTTATTAAAAAAGAATAGTTAATTATATTGTATAGAATTTTTTTCTCACTATCTCCCCGACTGCTCCTACTTTAAATCCAGCACTAGGGGGAGCATTATAGTTTTTCTACAACGATGCAAAAATCCTCTACCACTTTTACCCCAAAAATATATTCCCGTCTCGTCATAGATTTAAATCCAGAACAATCATTACTATTCATGCCATTGATGTTCTGATAATGAAAACATGTCGCAAAACATGGCCTATCAGTCCCAGACGTCAGGCATCAACCCTCAGCCCTTGTAGAAGTGCCAAATATTCTATCAACCCTTATTTATACATACGAATACATAGATACAAATTCAATTCGATTCAATAACTCCCCTTACATAGAAAACGGCACGTTTAACAAATCATTTCATTTGATTTCATACAATTATTGGTTACTGAATTAAGGAATTGGATCAAAAAAATCTAATGGACTGAGATAAATGTCTCAGATTTGGTAGCTTGTTATTACTTGTTTACATCAAAAATGTGATTTTAAATATTGCTATATCATATTTATTAAATTTAAAATAATAAATAAACATTAAAGAAAAAACTTACCGCACATTTTTCTTGGATCCATCATCTAGCGCTACACTGTGCCTCATGTGCATATGTTTTTTGTAATTGTTGTTTCCTGAAAAAATGATATTTTTTAATTTAATATAATGTATGGATTAACTAGTGGGACGCATGACATCGTGTCTTAAGGCAAATTGCTGGAACTTCCCGCACCAAAAATTATTTTTTTTAAAAAGATTCACATTTTTGAAAAAAAAATTACTCTGAAAAAATTAGATTTTTGAGAAACTATAAATTTTTGACAAAAATTTACTTTTTTTTTAAAAAAAAAGACTTTTTGAATAAAAATTTATTTTGAAATATTTTAGAAATTCTGAACTTTTTTTAAAAGCAATCGTACTGCTTTAACTGCATAGAGATGAAATATCGAAGCGCGTAAGCGCCGCGTCGCCGTCTAACGGATAAACATTGGTACGGAACCCATAGGAATGTAAACAAAATTTGCTTATTGTTAAAATCTCTATAAAATATCTGATAATTTGATGTGCATATGTCTAATGATCATTTTTGACCGCCAAATGGCATTTTTTTTTACTTTTTTTTACTAGATCAACGAAACCGCTGGACCTGCCTTCATGAAAATTTGATCAATTCTTCACACATGCACACACACATACATCCATTTATTCTAAGATATGCTAAAATGTTCAGAAGGTTTTGAAACGTAAAGATATATAAAAAATTTCATTTTCGATTTTTTTGCGATTACTATAACTTGCCCCACGGAAGTTAATAAAATTAATTAATATAATTAATATATTATTTATTAACATCGAATATTTTTAACAGCATATATTAATTCTAAATGAAGGTAGAACAGGTGGACGTTTGCGAGTTTACACAAATCAATTATTTACACAGATATTATAAAATAAATTACTATCAATACGTATTACTATTACTATGAAGTACTTAACGTTTTTATAAATCTATTAATATTTTGACTAATTGGAATAAATCTATTAATATTTTGATCATTAATATAAAAATAATATAAAGATTTCACTATTTTTTATTATGTATCATGTCACATTAACAACAATATATTAACCCCTAATAATGTGTTAAATTTTCATTGAAAATTCTGAATCATTTTTACAATATACGAGATGTTTGCCAGATTTAAATTTAACACCACATCCTTTCCTATATTACACGGAAACACAAAATTAATATTCTCAAATATAAATAACACACACTGAGTAAATTTTTTATGTATTTGCATGGAACCCAGATATGTCTCGAATGATAAATAATATTTTAATAAATAATCAAATATAAATTTATATTAAATATATTAATTTTTTCTCTTGCCTATACAAGCAGTCATCAACCAAACCGCCTTGCTCGGCATCTTAAGCACTTTTATTTTCATAAATCACTGGCAAAAATTTTCAAACCACACTGCCGATCGACCATTTATCGATTGACTCATAAGTCTGAAGAATGAATAAACTGTGACAAGGATTCTAGAGTTATTGTACGACCTAGGATTATGTTTAGAATGAAACTAATAAGTCCGATTTTAATTATTATCAAGTCGCTAAACATTTAATGCACTGATGCTTAAAGAAGTAAGGCGCGTTCAGAACTGATTGTTGCCAAACAATTGCATTCAGTAACAATTTTGTTATAATAATGATAATAATGACAATATATTTTTATAAAATAGTAACGATAATTGTATTTGTAAAAATTGATTATTGATAAATTAAAGACTATTTAATTAATATTTTTGTGCATATTGTTTTTCATATTGATATTCCTACACAACTATATTAAAAAGTTTAACTTATTTTACTTGGGTACTTCTGATTTTTAGACAAACTGCTTGATTCTACTTTACAAATTCTTACTCTCTATATTAATAAATTTTTAAAAACAATGACTAAAAACTTGTGTTAGACAGCCGAAAATCCAAAACTACCCTAAAATTATGTAGGTCCATCTGAATTATGTCTGATTTTCAAATAACTCCTTAAGGGTATTTTTTGTGCAAATATTTAAAAAAAATATATGAATAAGAAAAAGTGACGTAGCAAAATGGCATATTTGATATAAGTAAATATAACACAAAATTATTTTAATACAAATTTAATAATTAATTGTGGCGGGAATATCTCACTCAGTAGCGTTCTCGACTCACACGCTGGAGGAATTGGGTTCGAATCTCCAGCAATACCAGAATTAAAATAAAAAATATTTATTAAAAAAATATAATAAACTAGATTAAGAATTGTTAATTTATATAATACAACAAAAAATTGTATTAGAAGTAAGAAGGTAAAAAGAAGTTTAGTTTAGAATATGAGAAGAACATATTGAGGAACAAGAAGAAGAATGAAAATCAGTAGAAAGAAACTTGAATGGAAGATTACGATATAAAAAGAGATAGTTAAGAATGTATAAGAAATATATATGTAAGAATTGCATAGAATATGATGAAAAATAATATATGAATAATGTAGGTGGCTAAAAATGCTGTAAAGCGGAGGCCAATAAAAAAATGTAAAAAAAAAAAAAAAATTATTTAAATCCTTTTCGAAATGTGGTAAAAAATTGTTTGAGTAAAAAAAGTACGTTGAGTAGATTTTATTGACTGAATATTAAACAAATTGTGACTTTCTAGATAAAAATTAAGGATTGATTATCAAGCTAAATATATTTATGCTTTGATTAATACCTCGAATAATTCAAAATTATTTTTTGGCAAATATAAATATATATATATATATATATATATATATAATATGATTCATTTGCCTAATGTGAACGCTCTCCACATATTTTTTGATGCATTGTAGTTCACAAAAATAGCTTATGATGTGCGTCAAAGGAATTACAAACATGTGGCAAAAACATGCTACAGAATTTTATTATTGTTTATACTTATTTATTTCCACATGCATTCGTAAGCTGACTGTCCAAAAATGTTTATAAAACATTCTTAGGTGCATCACCGATGCCGAAAATAAACCGGAACCTATATTTCAAATGCCAAGAGGTAGTTTTGAGGTTTTTTGTAGTAAAATTTGAACTACTTTCCTGAATACTTTATCTATAAAATTGCATGGGCAATATTAATTTTGTAATAATTCAGAATAAAAATTTCAGGATCAGGATAAAATATTTTATGCCATCTTATTCATTTTTTTTTCATTTTACAATAGGTCAAAATAACAAACAAATTAATTTATATGTTTGCTTTAATGATACATATGTGAATATTCTCATAATATTCATATGAGATTTGACATAAAAATAATAATTCTCCAAACATGCATAAATTCCCTGCAAATTCGGTGATTCATTTGTGCTCAAGATGTATAAATATACTCTTATTTATTATTTATTATATATACATGTTTATACATACGTACTTTCATTAAAACATATCAGTATTTTAATTCTTAATGTGTAAATGTGTAAATTGATTGCATTCCTAAATCCTGATTGTTTATGAAAATGTTTTATTGATTTTCTCATTATATGAAAATAATTTTTAAATTTTTGTAATGTCTAAATACGTTAACAAAGACATTAATAATTCAATTGTAAAAATAAACTCGGCGTCTTCTAGGTACAAAAGAAAACGAATTATGTATATGTTATATGTTATATATTAAAGCTCTAAAATATTATGTAGTAAATATGTGATACCAAAAAGCTCTGAGTTTTCCTTAAATAATTTAATTTTTTAAGGGGGTATTCCTATGTGATGGGTTGAAAAAATCGATTTTTTTTTCATAAATTGCTCCCTTAACCTGTCTAGAATACGGTAGTAAAGCGATTTTAGAAAATTCGAAGTCGTTTTAAAGATACAGCAGGCAAAAAAAGAGCGGTTCGGAGCGCTGAGTTGAAACGCGTTTTTCTCAAAACTGTGTTTTTCAAACTTTCCTCCATTATATCTCAGAAACGGCTGGACTGAATTACTTGAAATTTACAGGGCACACTCAATATATTTAAACGCATGGATTATCAACTCCGATTTTTTTATAGCAAAAAACAAAAAAAAAACGCCTAATTTGCAACTTTTATTTCAAATGTCTATCAAAAATCCAATTTTTTTTATATTCATTTGATTATAGGTCATTTCGTGCTTTTAAGCCTACAAATTGAAACGCCGTTTATTTTTTTTTTCAGATAAGCCGATCAACCGGAATCATGGAGGAAGTGGGAGCTCTTTTTTTCGAGGCGGGGGTGTTCAGAGCGCTGTAACTCTAGTTTGACTGAATATTTTTAGCTGAAATTTTATATAGTTATACTGTCCAAATATGTGTTAATAAATGATAAAAAACTTGAAGCTCTAAATATTTACTGGTCGTAGAAAAGAAATCCTAAAATATCCCTAAAAAACAGGCCGTCACATAGGAAGACCCCCTTAAGTTCTTGCAAGGGAACAATTATGGTTTGTAAATGAGTACAGCAACATATACATTAATATTTTTTAAGTATTTAAATTAAAACATACCTCGTTCCAATTTCGCTTTAAGTATAACCAAACTGCTAGCCATAGCTGCTCTATGAGCCGAATTTTTAATTCCCAATTCAGTAAGATCGGCTTCTGAGTGATTAAGTAAATCTTCAACGCCTTTGACATCATCAAATACCTTATCGTATTGCATCAATCCGAGGGCATCCAACCATTCCCTGATATCCTTGTGAGGGACGACGGCCTGGGTTAAGTCGGGCGATCCGGTGTCCGGCGGGTCGCCTTCGACCGGAGGCCCTGTATCTGTTGCGCATATTAGGACAGGTTCTTCCGCTGATGTTACCGGAACAGGAGGAAGTTTGCGCTTTGCCAGATGTTTGGACGAGAAACGATGCGACCATGATAGACCTGGAAATAGTTAAATTTATTTGTTATTGAGATTTTGTAACAAATATAATATTACGTAGTGGCAAGCATAGCTCTCTTAATAGCGTGTTCGATTCACACGACAGGGATCAAATTCTGTCATTGGCTCATTTTGAAAATTTTGAAATTTGCTTAAACTCTATAAGTAAACTTTAGAAATTAAAAATCTTGGCATGAAAAACTTCATAAAAAATGTGATAATCTGATGTGCATACGTCTAATGTTCATTTTTGACCATCATCATTTTTTTTTACTTTTTCCTCTGTAACTCTAAAACCGCTAGACCTGCCTTACCAAAAATTGATTATTCATTTTGTCATTAAAAATAAAATGTTTTTTGAATCATTCAAATCGAGTACTCCATTCTCTCAAAAACTGAATTTTCGTTTTTGGCACTTTTTGCCCCATATCTCCGAAACAGCTAAACCTATCTTTGCCACAAACTAATCAGCACGTCTTTATATCAATAGGAATCGAATGTTTTTTGAACCATTTAAATCGGTTGATTCGTGCGCCTGAAATCGTCGACGAAAATTTTGTATCCGCACACACACACATACATCCATTTTTTCTAAGGTATGCCAAAATGTCCAGAAACCTTTGGAACGCAAAGATATGCAAAAATTTTTGTTTTAAATTTTTTTGCGATTACTATAACTTAATTATACTTAGTTAAAAAAATGGTATTTGTTGAGTAGAATTTGAATAAAATTAAGAAAAATAGGAATAACATAATTCGAATAGCTGAATTGTATTATATTAGGAGAAAGAAGAAAAAATATTAGAACTTGCTGAGATTAAAAGAAGAATGAAGAAAATAATTGAATAAAGATAGAAGTTGAATAGAATTAGAAATTTAAAAAAGAGCAAAAATTGAAGAATATATATATATATATATATATATATATATATATATATATTATATATATATATATATATAATATATATATATATAATATTATGTAAACGAGCCCTACATGATATTCTCGTTGTATGAAAGTGCAAATGCAGCAACTAGATGCGTATATTTAATTTATAATTATAATGCGTATACTTAATATCAAAAGGCTATTATCAGATCAATTTATAATTATCAAGATAAGAACAATGGAAACCTGTAAATGAATAATCGCCTTTCGCGTATAATTCAAAAATAATTGTCATTAGGTCAGTCTAGTAATATATGATTCATTCAACATTAAATTTGAACCACCCTACTATTATGTAACTAAACATATCATAATAGATATATTTTTTAGTATACTTTATTATAGTAATGATTTGTTACAGCTAATGAAAATTTGCTTTGCTACTAAACTATCTAATCAGTAATCATAATACACACTTAATAATACAATTATATAATGACCCCTCGCATTATATTTTCATGTCGCCCACAATTAATTAAAATACAATATAATATTTTATTTTTGAATTATTATTAACTTCCCGTACGGTAAGTTATTGTAATCGTCCAAAAATCGAAATTGAAAATTTTTACATTTCTCGACGTTTTGAAGGTTTCTGAAAATTTTGGCATATCTCAGAAAAAATGGATGTGTTTGTGTGTATGTATGTGTGAATACAATTTTTCGTCCACGTTTTCGGGCGCACGGATCGACCGATTTGAATGGTTCAAAAAACATCCGATTTCTATTGATAGGGAGATATGCTGATTAGCTTTTGGCAATGGCAGGTCCAGCCGTTTCGGAGATACGGAGCAAGGAATGCAGAAAATTGAAATCGAGTTTTTGAGAGATCGGAGATCGGATTTGGATGATCCAAATAACATTCAATTCGTAATGATGGGGTGAAGTGGTGATTGGTTTTTAGCAAAGGCAGGTCCAGCGGTTTCGGAGATACAGAGCTAAATGTGCAAAAAATTGCAGTTTTTGAGAGAACTAAGCGTCCGATTTTTTTATATCAAAAATAATTCATATTTTAATTGTACTTCTGACTTAAGTTAATAATACTTTAAACAAATATTTTCAACTTTGCAATTCAGTTTATATAATTCTTATAAATATTAGACAATGTTACAGTGTTTATAATAATCTATTTGAAAACATTTAATATTTCTCGAACATTTTGTTATGGTACGGGAAGTTCCAGCAATTTGCCTTAAGGCACGATGCCATACACACCACCAGTTGATTTTATTTTTGAATTTTTATATAATATTTAATTTTGATTATTAGCAAAAGCTCTATGATTTACTTAAATTGTTAACTTTTTCAATAAATTTCAATCATAGTATTAGAAAACTATTCTCCAGATATTTATAAATGTTTCAATTCTCTACATATTGCATATAATACATATCGAAATATGAAAATATTATCCAAAATTGCAGATTTAAATGAAATAATACTCACCCCATTTGTTGCGAACTCTTTTAATCATTTTAATTATTTTGTCTAATTTTTTGGTAGTTGTAACACACAATAATTAACATACTGGCATATAATGTAACTTCAAAAAAAAAATCACACAAATTTCCAAATAAATCATTTTATTTACTAAAGAATGCAAATATCAATGGTAATAGCATATGCGGAGAATATGCCAATCTCAAAAACAGTTGTTCAAGAAAAAACAACTCTCTAGTTTCTATTGATATTAAATATTGCCGAATTAATTATTCGATATTCCGCAAATAACAATTAAAAAACTTAATGATCAATGTATTTATTAAAATCTTGGTAACAAACTGCCACGTTCGTAAAACGATTGCAGATATCATATGTTGTATCATATGATAAGGTATATTTTTGCAACAAATGGCTGTACTTGAAAATATCAAAATTCTGCATATAATAGTACATGGGAATTCTTCAAATTACGGATCATATACGTATTATGATTCATGTTTACGAGATATATCTTTAAAATTAAAGATGCTTTAAAAACTATACAAATGATAAAATTGGTTAATGATAAATATGATATTGATTGGATATTTTTTATCAATCTAAAAGAAGAGATAATAAGTAGAATCTTTAGGATATTTTTCTTCATATTTTGATAGTTTTTAAAATAGAGATAATACATTTACCCAAGATAATAAAAACTCATCTTATTTTGTGAGCTACTGTTATGACAAATAAAGTGTACGAATAAATATATAATTGATTAAAAGAAGAATAAATAAAAAATAATAACCAAAATGCTTACAAAACATTTATACAAATAAGTTTCTGATTAAAATTAGTCTTTTAGTATTTCCTAATTCAATTCAATTCAAAAAAGATATATTTTAATATATAAAATGTATTACTTTGATTGACTTCTAGACAATTCAAAATATACAATGGTAAAGAAAATAAAGTTTTTTTGCTTAATATATATAGTAATTCATTCACTTTTAGTAATATTATATATAAAATAAACAAAAATTAGGGTTTTTTTTCGAAAAAAGAAACGAAACAGATAAAATCTGTGTTTTTGTACTTCACTGGTTGCTAAATAAATATTTGATAAATACTTAGGAAAGATAAGATTAGAAATAATTTATAGTACCTACGTATGCCTAATATTGCTATCTATATTGATTTTTCTCCAGACACTGTGATTTAGAAATGTGTTTGTACTAATTGGCAAATTCAGACAATATTTCACAATAATAATTAAATTATATAAATTTAAACATGCAATATCAAAAATAACAAATTTAGTATCAAGCAAGTTTAGAAGAATTCAATATATAATATACTCTATTTTTTTGCCACGGACAAATAATAAGACATTTGATTGCTGGTATTCTTTGGATTTATTGTATTCATAATATTTTTTTCCAAATCGTAGAGCAAGTATATTTATAAATTGATTAAAATTGTAGTTTTCATATTTTTAAAAAATGTAATATATTTTTAGACATTGATGGCCTAAGTTTTGAATAAAACAATCAGCATATATGTACTATTAATTATGTAAAACGAAAATAAAGAAAATAATTTTTACATATTAAATTATCTTATTATATGGTCTCCATTCTATTCCATTGATTGTAAAATCATCAAAATTCTGAATATAATATTTAATCTAAATATGCTATCTAAAAGCCAGGCGAAAATATTCTCTCTACAACTCCAAATCAATATATTCAAGTGATGTCTTTTTAACTAGCTGTAAGTGGAATTCTGTCTTAAGGCAATTAGGGCATCGTGCCTTAAGGCAAATTGCTGGAACTTCCCGTCAAAAATTATTTTTTTTTAAAACGATTAACATTTTTGAAAAAAAATTACTTTTAAAAAATAAGATTTTTGAGAAACTATAAATTGGACAAAAAATTATTTTTTTTTGAAAAAAAAAAATTTAAAAAAAAAAATTTTTTTTTTAAAAAAAATTTTTTTTCTTGAAAAAAAATTTTTTTTTTTTGAAAAAATTTTTTTTTTCTTTATTTTGACATATTGTGGAAGATCTGAACTTTTTTTTCAAAGCAATCGTACTGCTTTAACTACATAGGGGCAAAATATAAAGCGCGTAAGCGCCGCGTCGCTGTCTAACGCATAAGCATTGGTACGGAACCCATAGGAATGTTAACAAAATGTATACTTATTGTTAAAATCTCTATAAAATGTCTGATAATTTGATGTGCATATGTCTAATGATCATTTTTGACCGCCAAATGGCTCATTTTTTTACTTTTTCCTCTATATCTCCGAAACCGCTGGACCTACCTTCATGAAAGTTGTATCGATTCTTCATCTTGTCAATACAAATAAAATGTTTTTTGAATTATTAAAATCGGACGCTCCGTTCTCTTAAAAACTGAGTTACCGTTTTCGGAACTTTTGCCCCGTATCTTCGGAACGGCTTGACCTGCCTTT